TCTAAATCTTAAATACTGAAAGCCACCTCTGATAAGTACACTGTGCTATGTAAGATAATGATATAACTGGACTAAAAATACACACAATCTGTAGTTAACTGCCTTTACAGCGCTTTCGCGCTTTGATTATTATTTCCATGCAAACTTCTTGTTGTTGGGAAAATATTATTATTTTATTCTCCCGGGCGCTTTTTAGTAGGACCGTCGCTTATTACCCCGGAGAACCTCAAGTTTAGCATTAAAGATATGCTTTACAACCTGGGTAGTGTACTTGCTCACAACATGTTATGCCCCAGCAGAAACATATATTACATGAAAAAGTAGTTAGCAGGTTGTTTTGAAGGTTTGAATTCTGTTCTTGGAACACAAAAGTAAATAAGAAATGATAGGAAATAGTGGGGAATACCGTTTTACAAACTATGTACATACATGCAGTCTGTGTTTGAGTTTCAGACTTAGTGTTTTAAGTGTTAATAGTGCTCCTTACATGCATTATCCTGATGAGATTTCAAAATTTAAATCCACGCTAAGAAAATATACAAACAATTAGACAGTCTATTTCCCCAAATAAAAAAAAAATAAACCCAATGATACCACTTTCAAAATGACTGGATCCGCGCCTGGAATATATCACAGGTTGTGGTCAAAGGGTGGAGCTAGCTGGTTTATTAAATAAATGCAAGGAGTCTGTATTTTTGTTATAGATGTATTTGTATTTGTATCCATCTGATGAGTTAAGCCTTTTTCAACTGATTTTTATGGTTTGTTCTTATGTTGTACTATTCCTCCATAGCACAGGTTAGGGGAGGGTTGGCGCCTGCTAACATGTTTAACCCCGCCACATTCTATATGTGCCTGTCCCAAGTCAGGAGACTGTAATTCAGTGGTTGTCGTTAGTTGTTGTGTTACATATTTGATTTTCGTTCATTATTTTGTACATGAATTAGACCGCTTGTTTTCTCGTTTTATTTGTTTTACATTTGTCATTTCCGGGCCTTTTATAAGGCTTTGTTCATTTTTGAAGGCCGTACTGTGACCTATAGTTGTTAATTTCTGTGTCATTTGGTCTCTTATAGACTTGTCTCATTGGCAATCATTCCACATCTTTTTTTTCTATAAACTCTTTAATAGATTTTATTGATAAGATGAAAAGAAAAGAAAAAGACACAATAATGTTTTTTTTTTTATATGCATATTATATGATTTCACATTGACAAATACAGTGAGTGGTCCTAAAAAATATAGAAAACTGGATTCAATTATTCTGTTTTCCATGCATACTAATTAACAAGCCGCTTTTGTTATAAGTAGCTAAATTATGCATCCATATATAAATAGAACAAATGTCTATAAAAAGATGAAGACGAAAAAAATGAAATAATCATCACTGACTCAGAGTAACTGAACAACGAACAGTTCGAATGCAAATTACCAGTCACCAATTCGTTAATAATTTACAAAAAAATATGTCCATAACGGAAACAAATAAATGTAAAGTCTTCTTTTTTTTAAATGTTGCCACTTTATAATCTGATAATACATATATATATAATCATATCCCAATTTAAACATGTGCATGACTGTGATTAATACGCGTTAGCTAGTAAACAAACTGGTGTATTGACCTTTTAATTTTAGAATAATAGAGTTCAAATATATCAATATTCATGTTATAAATGATTGTCATATTGACGTTAATGTTTTTAAACCAATGGCAAGATACGATTTATTTTTCGATAATCTCTGATAATTAGTCGTTTGAGATGGTAAAGTTCAAAAAGGTTCGAATAAGATCTTCCCAGCATATTATCATTGGTTTCCCTCCCCCTTACTTATATTCCCCTGTGATAATGATGCAGTAAGGGGAAAGAACTCATTAATCTAATGCAAGCATGGCGGATATCCGGGGAAGATCAAGTTTTGTGTTTACAAAAAGGTTGGTTATGCAGATCGTATGAAGAAGAATGACTTGTTACTTTGCCATAATTTATTTAAGATCATGATCTTTCGGTTTATCTATATGCCTATTATAATCACACGGTGCAAATATGTTAAATCTGACTGCAAAAAAGTTGTGCTATTGAAAAATGTTAAAATTGAAATCCCAAGATAATGGGGATTTCAACTTTTTCAGTTTTCTGGCGTACAAAAGATATACTTTCATATATTTTAAGTTATAACTTAAAATAAAATTGATATATTATTTTTACTTGATATTATATGTTGAAAAAGTAAGATCGGTAAACAAAATAACGAGTTTTCAGTTGCACATGTTGCATGTTGTTATTTTATTGATATGCTAATGAAACACAACGTCAAAAATTGTTTACCACCCAGTACATGTCCAACTCTAGAAAAAGTCCCTTATTCTGAAAAGGATGTTCAGAAGCAAAAGTGATTTGCAATTTACAACCATAATGCAATATTTAGTGTTTAACATGCATGATGTACAAAACAATATACATGTTCAGCTTGGATGTTGAGTTATGCAGTGTGTCTGGTAGTTATCTGAAGGTATAATCCATAGCCAAGGTCAGCTGCCTTGGCTATCATATATGTGTCCATCTGATCATCTATCCCAAATTTATATGTTCATGTAGGACCTAGATGTCATTTAGTTGTGTCGTATGGTTGCTGTCTCAGCATACATTGATATATACCCTGGCAGTATCTTTTTTATTCACATTACCACAATAGAAAAGCTCATATATTACATGTATATATATGGCAAAATTATTTAATAGAAATACATATTGTACATTCCTCTTCTTAGACAGTCTGCACCAAAATCTTTTCCAACTACTAGTCCGAAGGCAAATATTCAGACATTTTCCTTATGTGTCTAAACAAAGTTTTGCGAAAATTAACTAGTCCAAATAAAATTTTACTAGTCTAGGGCATCAGACTAGTGGCTAACAGTGCAGGCTGCTTCTACATTTACACATACATGTATATATAGTTTGTATATGTACAATGTACATGAACTGCCTCAGATATCAACTAGTCCAAATAAAATTTTACTAGTCTGGGGAATCGGACTAGTGGCTAACAGTGCAGGCTGCTTCTACATTTACACATGCATGTATATACAGTTTGTATATGTACAATGTACATGAACTGCCTCAGATGTCTTGTAGTAATGTCAGGTACAAAATGTAACTAAACTGTAGTGTGCAGGCATGTATCATGGGAAGTTATAAGTTGGATCTGGGGCCAAGTCAATCTATGACTTGAAAAAGGGTTTTGCTGCTTCTCTGCTAAGCCCCCTCTGCTTTAAGGGGTAACTAGAGTAAATACTTGGTCAGCTGAGGACAATAATTAAACTGATGCGGATCAAAGAGTTGAAAACCCCCAAAGCTAGATAATGTTTGGAGTGAAACGGGTAAAAAGTCTGTATTATATATATTAATTAACCATAAATGTAGCTCCATGTGGGGGGGGGGGGGGCAAAATCCATCTCTGTGAAATGTCTGATACCTAAAGCCGCTCATGTCTTCCTGTAGAATGTTTACAGTAGAAATGGCATGTTAAAAAGCTGACTAGTGCGTCTGTCTAGCACAAAGCAGTGTTTATACCATAGGCGGATCCAGGGGGGGGGGGGGGGGGGGGGGCCTGGGGGGCCCGGGCCCCCCCTTTCGTGGGAAAAATTTGGTTGATTATATAGGGAATCACTGAAGCATGACTGGAGCGGGCCCCCCTTAGTTCAGTCAGCGGGCCCCCCTTATGAAAAGTTCTGGATCCGCCACTGCATACTCACATTACATAACATGTAAAGTTTGCCATTGAATTTTTCAGGGTTGGCAAATTATTATATACCTGGTTTTCTAAGGTTAGGCAATACCCCCAGAAGTTGGTATTAAATGCATGTTGTACTGAGTAATGTGGTTGTTGTTTTCTTGACCCATGCTGGATGGGGGATATAGAATATTTTGTAGAAGTACCTTGCATCCATCAGATGGTAGGTATACATTGTACATTTTTTGGTGTCAGAAGTTATTAAAATCATTATCAAAGGTTAATACCAGCAAGGTCTTGGAACTGTGCTGTCAAATTGTTTTTACAGGAGTTATGCTGCTTGTTAATAGATATTATACGGAAAATTACATTGTTAGGAATTTCGTGACTACATTTTGTAAGATATTTAATACATAGAAGTATATTAGAACCAAACAAATTTTTCTTAAGTAATATATAATTGTCCTTGGACTGATAAAATATGTGCCACATTGGAAACTATCTGTCAATATTGTCATGTTTTATTTAATTTAAATTTTACACAGAACAGTTCAAACATATTGTAGTTTCATAATACCATTGCCATATATAAACATTTTACACAGAAAAACCTTGAGTTATTTTAAGAGGAGAAAAAAAATCAATTTCTTCAATGTCTCAAACAATTTCATATACTAAATACACAGAACAAGTATTGTATAAAATAAGGATATATGTGGTATGATTGCCAATGAGACAACTATCCAACAGAGTTTAAATGACAGGATTAAAGCAACTATTAGTCAACAAATGGTCTTCAGGAGCCTGTAGCCCTTGTTAGTCTTGTATTATTTTTAATTTTAGTTTCTTGTGTACAATTTGGAGTTTAGTATGGCGTTCATTATCACTGAACTAGTATATATATTTGTTTAGGGGCCAGCTGAAGGACGCCTCCGGGTGCGGGAATTTCTCGCTGCATTGAAGACCTGTTGGTGACCTTCTGCTGTTGTCTGTTCTATGGTCGGGTTGTTGTCTCTTTGACACATTCCCCATTTCCATTCTCAATTTTATTCAATAATGAGTAAAACCCATACCTTATACAAGACCCTGACATAACAGAATGGATCAAAGAACATTATTTGAACAAAAGACTTTTTTTCCAGTTCAAAAAATATTACTGGTAGTGTAATATTTCAATATTTTTTTTTATTTACAGATTGTTTGTTCACTGTTGGTCACTTAATGTAAGTGGGAAAAACTGATTGGATAAAGATATTAAATAGGTACTTATATGTTATATTAGTAATGTTTATACATAGTTTGATTTTCATTACACTCAGTGGTCATTATTTTAGGATTTTCCCAGGATGTGTGTTTTCTTTACTGTTGAGATGAAACAGATTTATTATCATATCTCAATCAGTTAGATGTGAAGTTTATCACATGTTCTTAGCAGGAGGTTTAATTACATCAGTTCCAATACAAATATACATGTCTTGTTAATTAGTGACCACTTGTGGCATTTGGCTTCCTTTGTCCTTTGTTCTTTATACATTAACCTGGGTGCAGTTTTAACTCCTCCCACATAGGAGTATCCCATTAAGAAGTTGTGTATTAAAAACCTGTGTATGCTGCCTTGAGTATCCATTTATTTAAATGCAGATTAAGCAGTTATTAGACTAATCTTGGCTCTAATAGTGTTTTAGCTAAAAACTTGAACTTTCAGTGTTTGGATTACTATACTAAAGCTATATTACAGTTTTTAAACAATTTAATATAATTCAGACTAATTTAACTGGAGAATTTAAACATTATTGGAATAACTGACAACAAAATGTCTGGCAGAGGAAAAGGTGTGCGAAGGAAGACTAGGAGTTCTCCGTATGAGACCCAATGGGATTCTAATAACCCATCTAACTGGACTATAAGCAAACTGAAAGAAGAACTTAACAAAAAGGGAATAAGAACACCTACTGGAATGTCAAAACAAGTGTTAAAACAACTTTACATAGAGAATAGTATTGAAGGAGTAACACCTATAGAGACACAACAGACAGAGAACGTTAGTGATGAGATTAACACAGATTCCTCACCAGAGAACACTGTTCCGATTAACTTGGCAGAATCAGTGCATCAACACAGAAGCAGTGTATCGAATGGCGAAAATGAGAATGGTGGAACAGACAGGAACAAGACTGCAGAATCACAAAACATAGCTCAGTGTTTTGCAGGGCTTCAAGAGACCTTCAAACAGTTAATTTACAGAGACAATACTCATGACATGAGTAGAGATCGCGAATTCAACCTTCAACAGTGGTATAACCATGCAGGGATTGGAAATAGGAGTGAAACCTACACTTCTAACAGGGGAAATAACAACAGTTTACAAGGAAATACAGAGAATGCATCTTTCATCTCAGGAACACAAATTGGAAATTTTTCATGTGGAGTGCGTTCTGATGAATACTCTAATGTGGACATAATATCTCCATCTATTCAGAAGCAAATCATTGACGGTAAGGATGTTAATTTGGCATCTCTTCTAATCCCAAATTATGAAAGTCCCCAAGTTCACTCTGTTGCAGCTAATGGGTTAGAATTAAATATCTCTGGGAAGCCAGATCCCCGTCTAAATAGGAAACTCACAATTCAAGAATTCATTAAGGCATTTGGCAAGTTTAAAAGGGTTATGTCATCAGCTTATCCTGATCGTAGAGCAGAGCTGGATGCTTATGAAGATGAGATTATAGATATTAGTAATTTTTATGGTGATAGATTTTATGATTACCACAAATTGTTTTCTGCAAAATCAGCAGCTCTTTTAAGGGAGAGAAGGATTAAGGTTGACTGGAGCAAAAGAGATAGGGATCTTCTTTCATTAATAGTTGCTGGTGGGAATGTAAATGTTTGCAAAATTTGTAATTTGGTTGATCACACTACAGCTTTCTGTCCTATGCAGACCTCCATGGGGTATCAAGACTACCCAGATAAAGTATCAAGGCAGGTAGACAATACTGATAAGTTAGGTAGAAGAAGGTTTATCATTTTGGGAGGGAGGTGTGCAATAATTTTAATACCAGTAGGGGTTGTACCAGGAGTTTTTGTCATTTTTCACATATCTGTAGTAGATGTAAAGTCGCTGGTCATACCCTATTAGCTTGTCAAAAAGTTTTTCCCTCTCAAGGTAGGACTGAAGTACAATCTAAGCCACATACAGTTAACTCTTCACCACTAAAGTTTGAGAAAATAACAACAAATAAGCAAGGTCAATGACTACATGATTTTCCACATCTGGCAACTACTCCAATTAATGTTATTAAACTTGCAAAAGAATTAGTATCTCATCCTGACAAAAATTTTTTTAACTATTTATGCAGTGGCTTAGAGAAAGGTTTTGATACTATGGTAGCTACAACAGATTTACCTACAAAAGAATGTAGGAATAGTTTATCTGCTAGGACACAACCAGATGTGGTTTCTGAGTTGATAGAGAAAGAAGTTTTTAAAGGTTTCTTGTATGGGCCTTTTAAGGATCCCCCTGTTCAAAAATATAGGGTAAGCCCAATTGGTATTGCAGAAGGGAAATATTCTGGTAAAAAGCGCTTAATATTGGACTTATCTTCACCACATAATGATGACAACCATCTAAGCATTAATGATCTTATTGACAAACAAGATTGCTCAATGTCTTATGTAAGAATAGATGACGCCATTGATGTTATTTTGAAATTTGGAAGAAATTCCTGGCTTTGCAAGTTCGACATATCCGACGCGTTTAAAAATTGTCCTATTATACCAAGTCAGTGGCCTCTTTTCTGCATAAAATGGGAAAAAATATATTATTTTTATGTCCGTTTAACTTTTGGATGTCGTTCAAGCCCTAAAATTTTTGACCATTTATCCCAAGCTTTGTGTCATATTGCAGAAAACAATTACAAAGTTAATAGCATTTTGCATTTATTGGATGATTTTCTAACCATAGATCCACCAGATGCTGATGGTGAGAGGACTATGGCTATAATGATGATGATTTTCAAAAAACTGAACATTCCTATAGCTAAACATAAGACAATAGGTCCTGTAAAATGTTTAGAATATTTGGGTATTATTCTAGATTCTGAAAAAATGGAAGCTCGACTGCCTCTTAATAAAGTCAATCGCATTTGTGAATTCATCAAAAAATTATACTGGAAAAAATCATGTACCAAAAGGGAATTGTTGCAGCTTTTGGGCCACTTAAACTTTGCTTCACGTGTCATTTTACCTGGTAGATCCTTTGTTTCATACCTCATAGGGCTGTCCACTACTGTCAATGATTTGCATCATTATGTTAAATTAGATAAGGAATGCCGTGTTGACCTAGAATTTTGGTTACTTTTTTTGAGCAGCTGGAATGGTGTGAACATGTTTTACAGTAGACAATTTAACTCAAGTTATGATATGGAACTTTTCACTGATGCCTCATCAACGAAAGGATTTGGTGGATATTTCAAAGGAGAATGGTTTTATTCATCATGGCCATCAAACATTGCTTATCCTGACAAAACATTTTCAATGGCTTTTCTTGAATTATACCCTATTGTAGTATCCGCAATACTGTGGGGCTCACAGTGGACAACAAAACGCATTCTTTTCTGGTGTGACAATGAAGCTACAGTAGCTATAGTAAAAAAGGGCCGTTCAAAGTGTTTACAAATAATGAAATTAATGAGGAAACTTACATGGTGTGCTTGTAAATACAACTTTCATTTTAGTGCGAAACATGTTCCAGGATATCAGAATGACATAAGTGATGCTCTATCTCGTTTTCAGATAGACAGATTCCGCAAACTAGCTCCCAGTGCAGCACAACATCCAATGAAGTGCCCAAGCAGCTCAGATGTAATGTGGTCTTAAATAAAGCAGTGAATGAACTTTGGAACAGTGCTATTGCTAATACTACAAGAACTGTTTATGATACTGGGTTTAGAAAGTTTGAGACTTTTATGTTATTGAATGGTTTTCAATTTACTAGTTTACCTCCTATTTCTGAGGATATTTTAATTTATTTCATAGCCCACTGCTTTAAAATTCTGAGTTTACAATACTCTACCATTAAACTATATTTATGTGGAATTAGGTATAAGTATGTACAGGGTAATCAAAATGATCCCTTGCAATCTGCTAATAATACACCTTTAATTAGGCTTGATTATGTTTTAAATTCTGTAAAAAGACTGCAAAAAACAAAAAATCACATAAGATTACCAATAACTTTCGAAATTTTGGAGAAAATTGTAAATTGTTTGAGAAAAGGTTTTTGTTCCAAGTTTACTGATTTGATGTTAAGAACTGCATGCATTGTCGCATTTTATGGATTTTTGAGATGTGGAGAGTTTACAGTGTCAAAGGCCTCACAATTTGATCCAGATATAAATTTATGTATTGAAGATGTTGTTTTTCACACAGACTTAGTAGTTTTGAAATTAAAACAATCAAAAACTGATCCTTTTAGAAAAGGCATAAATATACAGCTACATAAATTAGGTCAGCTTATCTGCCCTTACACAATTTTGTTAGAATATATACAAATAAGGAAGGAATTTTCTCCTATCAATCAAACTGATCCACTTTTCATAACCATTGATAAGAAACCTCTGGAGAGACAATATTTCCTCACCTGTATTAAAAAAGTACTGGATATATGTGGCTTCAACTCAAGTCATTATAATGGTCATAGTTTTAGAATTGGGGCAGCCACTAGTGCTGGTAAGGCAAAAATGGAAGATCACTTGATAAAAACATTAAGGCGCTGGTCTTCAGATAGTTACATCAGATACATTAGAGTCACGCCAGCATCTATTAAAACAGCTCAAAGTAGGTTAGGCAGAATTTAAAGGAATGCTCATCTTCAAATGTTTCATATATATATATGCATGTTTTCACAAAGTTTCTGTATGATATTGTTTTTCTTTGACAATTGATTTTGATAATGTGTTATTATAATGTTGTTTTTTTTTTGTTTTTTTTTTCTCTCATGGCTTTATTGAAGGTACCACCTCCCTTACCTCACAAATCCTTGGGGACACTCAGCTGTTACCATCTGTGTTATGGACATTTATGAAATTTTATCACTGGTTGTTTCAAAAATTTCACTCATCCCCCAAGAATTTCTGGGGATAAACTGTCAAATTTCATACAAATTCATTCCAACACCAATTCAACATCAACACTACTAGGCTTCCTCATAGCCTCCTTATAGGCTTCCTCATAGCCTCCTTATAGGCTTCCTCATTGCCTCATTATAGGCTTCCTCATAGCCTCATAGGCATGATAGCCTCATAGGCTTCCTGATAGCCTCACGCATTTATTTTGAACCATCGTTCCAATTGGATTGGTGTGATGTCAAGCCAGGGGTCTATACTTTGCTACTTTTCAGTATGCACATAGCTAGGCTCTTGGTTTAGGCATGGAGCAAAAAATTAAAATTTTTAGCTGAGTAGATTCCCCAAGGGCCAAATTAGTGATGTATATATATAAAATAAAAGTTTTAATTCAATTATGATTTATGTTTAATTCAAACATGGATACCACTGGCATTGCTACACAATATTTCCCAGGAGTTTATTTACAAGATAGGTTATGACAGGAAAAAATTAGGTTGATAATAATGTTGATGTGAGCACTAAATCCTTAATTTTACATATCATGAGTTCAAATGGTGAGTTCTGAAAGAAATCAGGGGTAATTAAATTATTTAAATTACTATGAACTCATTATGTGTGACTTTGAGGATTTTGTTCACTGACACATTTATTAGCAAAAGTCGAAATATAGGGCAGAAAGTTACATCAGGATGGTTTAATTGTCAGGTCAAAGAAATTTGCAAGAAGGTATCAGGTTGGATGTTTACTCAGGTGTTAACACACATTTCCCTATTACATAACAGACTAACACTTACCAAAGAAAAGATACAGTATAAACAACAGACAATTAAAATAAGATTAGTACAACATCACATCAAACATAAATTAATTTACCCTAAAAATATTTACAAAGAATCAGAACACAATGCAAACATGGAACAAATGACAGTTAAACATATTCAGGACCTTTTCTGAGAATTTTGTATAAATAGGTACTTATATGTTATATTAGTAATGTTTATACATAGTTTGATTTTCATTACACTCAGTGGTCATTATTTTAGGATTTTCCCAGGATGTGTGTTTTCTTTACTGTTGAGATGAAACAGATTTATTATCATATCTCAATCAGTTAGATGTGAAGTTTATCACATGTTCTTAGCAGGAGGTTTAATTACATCAGTTCCAATACAAATATACATGTCTTGTTAATTAGTGACCACTTGTGGCATTTGGCTTCCTTTGTCCTTTGTTCTTTATACATTAACCTGGGTGCAGTTTTAACTCCTCCCACATAGGAGTATCCCATTAAGAAGTTGTGTATTAAAAACCTGTGTATGCTGCCTTGAGTATCCATTTATTTAAATGCAGATTAAGCAGTTATTAGACTAATCTTGGCTCTAATAGTGTTTTAGCTAAAAACTTGCCACCCGCCGACCCCTCCTTTCACCTTCAATATTGCCATGACAGGGGAATCAATCTCAGCACAGTTTATAGCAGATTTATAGATTTCATTTATGAAATTTTATCACTGGTTGTTTCAAAAATTTCACTCATCCCCCAAGAAATTCTGGGGATAAACTGTCAAATTTCATACAAATTCATTCCAACACCAATTCAACATCAACACTACTAGGCTTCCTCATAGCCTCCTTATAGGCTTCCTCATAGCCTCCTTATAGGCTTCCTCATTGCCTCATTATAGGCTTCCTCATAGCCTCATAGGCATGATAGCCTCTAGGCATGATAGCCTCTAGGCATGATAGCCTCATAGGCTTCCTGATAGCCTTACGCATTTATTTTGAACCATCGTTCCAATTGGATTGGTGTGATGTCAAGCCAGGGGTCTATACTTTGCTACTTTTCAGTATGCACATAGCTAGGCTCTTGGTTTAGGCATGGAGCAAAAAATTAAAAATTTTAGCTGAGTAGATTCCCCAAGGGCCAAATTAGTGATGTATATATATAAAATAAAAGTTTTAATTCAATTATGATTTATGTTTAATTCAAACATGGATACCACTGGCATTGCTACACAATATTTCCCAGGAGTTTATTTACAAGATAGGTAATGACAGGAAAAAATTAGGTTGATAATAATGTTGATGTGAGCACTAAATCCTTAATTTTACATATCATGAGTTCAAATGGTGAGTTCTGAAAGAAATCAGGGGTAATTAAATTATTTAAATTACTATGAACTCATTATGTGTGACTTTGAGGATTTTGTTCACTGACACATTTATTAGCAAAAGTCGAAATATAGGGCAGAAAGTTACATCAGGATGGTTTAATTGTCAGGTCAAAGAAATTTGCAAGAAGGTATCAGGTTGGATGTTTACTCAGGTGTTAACACACATTTCCCTATTACATAACAGACTAACACTTACCAAAGAAAAGATACAGTATAAACAACAGACAATTAAAATAAGATTAGTACAACATCACATCAAACATAAATTAATTTACCCTAAAAATATTTACAAAGAATCAGAACACAATGCAAACATGGAACAAATGACAGTTAAACATATTCAGGACCTTTTCTGAGAATTTTGTATAAATAGGTACTTATATGTTATATTAGTAATGTTTATACATAGTTTGATTTTCATTACACTCAGTGGTCATTATTTTAGGATTTTCCCAGGATGTGTGTTTTCTTTACTGTTGAGATGAAACAGATTTATTATCATATCTCAATCAGTTAGATGTGAAGTTTATCACATGTTCTTAGCAGGAGGTTTAATTACATCAGTTCCAATACAAATATACATGTCTTGTTAATTAGTGACCACTTGTGGCATTTGGCTTCCTTTGTCCTTTGTTCTTTATACATTAACCTGGGTGCAGTTTTAACTCCTCCCACATAGGAGTATCCCATTAAGAAGTTGTGTATTAAAAACCTGTGTATGCTGCCTTGAGTATCCATTTATTTAAATGCAGATTAAGCAGTTATTAGACTAATTTTGGCTCTAATAGTGTTTTAGCTAAAAACTTGCCACCCGCCGACCCCTCCTTTCACCTTCAATATTGCCATGACAGGGGAATCAATCTCAGCACAGTTTATAGCAGATTTATAGATTTCATTTATGAAATTTTATCACTGGTTGTTTCAAAAATTTCACTCATCCCCCAAGAAATTCTGGGGATAAACTGTCAAATTTCATACAAATTCATTCCAACACCAATTCAACATCAACACTACTAGGCTTCCTCATAGCCTCCTTATAGGCTTCCTCATAGCCTCCTTATAGGCTTCCTCATTGCCTCATTATAGGCTTCCTCATAGCCTCATAGGCATGATAGCCTCTAGGCATGATAGCCTCTAGGCATGATAGCCTCATAGGCTTCCTGATAGCCTCACGCATTTATTTTGAACCATCGTTCCAATTGGATTGGTGTGATGTCAAGCCAGGGGTCTATACTTTGCTACTTTTCAGTATGCACATAGCTAGGCTCTTGGTTTAGGCATGGAGCAAAAAATTAAAATTTTTAGCTGAGTAGATTCCCCAAGGGCCAAATTAGTGATGTATATATATATAAAATAAAAGTTTTAATTCAATTATGATTTATGTTTAATTCAAACATGGATACCACTGGCATTGCTACACAATATTTCCCAGGAGTTTATTTACAAGATAGGTTATGACAGGAAAAAATTAGGTTGATAATAATGTTGATGTGAGCACTAAATCCTTAATTTTACATATCATGAGTTCAAATGGTGAGTTCTGAAAGAAATCAGGGGTAATTAAATTATTTAAATTACTATGAACTCATTATGTGTGACTTTGAGGATTTTGTTCACTGACACATTTATTAGCAAAAGTCGAAATATAGGGCAGAAAGTTACATCAGGATGGTTTAATTGTCAGGTCAAAGAAATTTGCAAGAAGGTATCAGGTTGGATGTTTACTCAGGTGTTAACACACATTTCCCTATTACATAACAGACTAACACTTACCAAAGAAAAGATACAGTATAAACAACAGACAATTAAAATAAGATTAGTACAACATCACATCAAACATAAATTAATTTACCCTAAAAATATTTACAAAGAATCAGAACACAATGCAAACATGGAACAAATGACAATTAAACATATTCAGGACCTTTTCTGAGAATTTTGTATAAACAGTCTTTATAGTACATGTGAAATAGGTGAGTTTTCCCAGTAGTAAATTAGTTTGTTCTTTTTGAATAGGGGACATTTCAATAGTAAAATTAAATCGGTATTAATATTTTGTATTGTAATAGGCCACTGTACCATTTGTAGTTAAATTAAAATAAAGTTGTTATGTTTTGATTTTGATAAAACAGTTTACCTTTTACTGCTATAAAATGTTTTATTCTTTATTTCATCTCTCAATTTCAATTTTTGCAGGAGACTCATCTGATTGTGGAAGTTTGTGTAGTTGAAAGGAGTTACATACAGATGCTGTTTTGAATCATAAGAAATGACTGATATTAATTCATTTCTTCAGTTCCTCATTAGCTTCTTCACAAGGAATAAATTGTGTAAGGAGTTCTATATTCCTATTTAAAGACCTAACTTTTTTTTCCATTTGAGCGTATGAAAGCAAATTAATTGAATTCATTCTGAATACTGAGCTTATATAGTTTTATGTACATGTATATGTGACTTTATCTTTATTTGACTTTTTATTTATAAGTTATTTAAACATTAATAATTTTATTCTTTGTATGAGAAGCTATAATCAATCGACTACTAGTATATATTTTTTTCTCGCCTGGGATGAAAGTCCGGGAAAGTGAGACATAAGGGTTCCTTTTCTGGCGACGATGGCTCTTGCATCAACAATTGTTAAGTTTTCTGCTTAAGTTAGTAAGTTTGACAGGTATTACTTGTGATAGATCATTGATATTTACTAGTAATATAAAGTTATATTATTAATTCGTATTTTTTGATTTGAAAAAATTTGATTCGTTTAGAGATAGTCACATGTTAAACTATATTTTCGAAGGTAGAGAGAAAACGGCGGATAGCAAAAAGCATATTGCACAGCAAAAAGCATATTGCACGGATATTTTTAGAATATCTAAAAACCGATATACTTTGTGACGTCATGTAATGAATTTCATGATATTGTTAAAAGTTAAAAAAATATCTATGATTGATTATTTGAAGAAAAAAAAATCTTCATATACATAAGATGTAAAAAAAAAAGTAAATGAAATAACAATTTATATGTTGTTATTGTCTAGGAGACAATATGATATCTATAAAATTCCAACTTGGGACAAAATCAAAACATCAATCAGGATCTTGATACAAATATGGTCGGAAATTAATAATATAACAATTATAGCCTATTGATGAGGTCAATACAGGATATATCGACCCAAAGAAGTATATCGACCTCGGACTTCGTCCTCAGTCAATATACTTCTTTCAGGTCAATATATCCTTGTATCGACCTCATACAAAGGCTATAATTGTATAGTATTACTATCAGTACATATCAGTTTGACAACTATTTTGAGGCCCTGTCCCTAGGATATGGTGCAGTGACTTGGATTTAGAGATTTTCAATAATAATAGAAAAACAAAGGATATGGAGTATCCATCCATGACACAAAATCAGTAAATGCACATCAAAAAAACATACAAAAAGCAAAGGAACAGCGCTTTTATTGCTGTTCTTCATCTCAAAGTCACATTGAGACCTCAACTCGGAGCAAAAAAAACTCTCACTTCACTGCCAGTTTAAGACGGCCCCTATCACCGACTTTAGCGGAATTCTTTGCAAAAATAATTTGGATAGACTTTTTAAGATGTAACACCACTCAATCGGGCTAAGTCGAAAAAGAACATTCTGGAAAGTAGTACATATTTAAAACAAAAAAGTTTACTGCTTAAGTTAGTTTGATAGGATCTAATTATGACACACACATTACAATATATCCAAAAGTAAAGTAATTGTCTGATACAGAAGTTTTATATGTTTTAAAGAATAATGCTGTTTTTGCCTTCTTTGTTTTTATTCCCTTTGAAAATATATCATTTTGTCCAACAAATTTTTAAAAAATCTGCATCAAGGCTTTGTAATATTGCAAATATTTGACCTGATAACAATTTAGACTGTTGGAATCATCATTGGCATCATGATGATATCAAGTTTGACCTGACATGAGGAAGGCAAGTGCCATAAACTTTTCAAACAATAAAATTGAGAATGGAAATGGGGAATATGTCAAAGAGACAACAACCCGACCAAAGAGCAGACAACAACCGAAAGCCACCTATGAAACAAGTTTGATTTGGATCAAGAAAATACTCAAATTAATACAATAAACAATGTATACATTGACATATACACAAATTAAAAATAGATGAGTTATGAGAGAATCCTTTTTTTTAAGCTAATCTGGCAAAAGTGACTAATTGTGTCTTCATACTCAGTTCATTGTTTGTCGTCTGTAAACCTTTTAGCTCACATCCCCATAAAGCCACTGAACTACTGTATAAACTTACTTGTTGTCCATTGTAAACTTTTTACCAAACTTGAGGTGAATGGTTCTAATGGTGTCTAGTATAAACTTTGTTGATTTTTATTCTGGTCAGTCTGTACACAGCAAACACTTTTGGATAAGTCTTTAAGGAATTATTACCCTTAAATAGTGATTTAATCGATTTTTATACGACCGCAAAATTTAAAAATTTTTGGTAGTATATTGGTATGACGTTGGCGTCGTCGTCGTCGTCGTCCGAAGACACATTGGTTTTCGCACTCTAACTTTAGTTTAACTGAATGGATCTCCATGAAATTTTACCATAAGGTTCAATATCACAAAAGGAAAGTTGGGATTGATTTTGGGGGTTATGGTACCAACAGTTAAGGAATTGGGGGCCAAAAATAAGCATTTTTGTAACTTCCAGACATAACTCGTGTGTTAGTGTATGGATCTCTCTGACATTGTACCACAAGGTTCCAAATCACAAAGGGAATGCTGGGATTGATTTTGGGGGTAATTGCCTCAAAATTTTAGGAATTAGGGGCAAAAAAACAAGCATTTTTCTAGTTTCATGATAACAACTTGTGTGTAAGTGTATGGATCTTTCTGAAATTGAACTACAAGGTTCCATATCACAAAGGGAAAGCTTGAATTGAGTTTGGGGGTAATTGCCCAAAACATTTAGGAATAAGGGGCCAAAAAGGGGCCAAAAATAGCATTTTTTGAGTTTCCAGACAATAACTTGTGTTCAAGTGTATGGATCTCTCTGAAATTGTACTGCAAGGTACTATACCACAAAGGGAAGGCTGGGATTGATTTAGGGGGTAATTGCCTCAAAATTTTAGGAATTAGGGGCAAAAAAGGGGCAAAAAACAAGCATTTTTCTAGTTTCAGGACAACAACTTGTTTGTAAGTGTATGGATCTTTATGAAATTGTACTACAAGGTTCCATATCTCAAAAGGAAAGCTGGGTTTGAGTTTGGGGGTAATTGCCCTAAACGTTTAGGAATTTGGGGCCAAAAAGGGGCCTAAAAACAAGCATTTTTCTAGTTTCCAGACAATAACTTGTGTTCAAGTGTATGGATCTCTCTGAAATTGTACTGCAAGGTACCATACCACAAAGGGAAGGCTGTGATTGAGTTTGGGGTGATGAATCATAAGGGGGTTCAAAAAATTTAGGGGAGGTATTTTTTTTTTCTTTAAAATTTTCCATTTTAAATTGGTTATTTCTGATTTATATATAAAAGCAAAAAATAATGATATGGTTTGAATAGGTAAATTAAAAATTTTTAAGTTCTTAGACCACATTCATACTGTGTCAGAAACCTATGCTGTGTCAAATATATAATCACAATCCAAATTCAGTGCTGTATCAAGCTTGAATGTTGTGTCCATACTTGCCCGACCTCAGCGGTCGTATCAAGCTGCGCCCAGCAGAGCATTTTATTGCATTTTGGGCAAATTCAATAGTAGTTTAAAAGAGAAACTGTAACCAGCCAAAATGATCGGCAATATGCATGATTTACAAATAGAACTAAGACATGAATGCTGAATTAGAATCCGGTCTATAATGTAAGAGAGTGGCCATTTTTGAAGATGCAAATAGATCCAAGTGAATGACAGACTATTGTCTAGTTAAAAGAGCTTCCCTGAAACTACTGAACCAATTCAAACCAAAGTGACATGATCGATGGTGCTTAGTGGTGTGTAAAATATTGCTTAAATATTGTATGTCAATAAAAGACGAATTGAAACTAAAAAAGATCAGCATTTTAGTCGCATTGAGCCTGTAGTTTACCGTTTTGCTGTGACTGATAACAGCTTCATATCAGGATCAGTGCTGAACTTATATACTTTGTTATGTCTTTCTGACGAAGTTTTGTTTATCTTTAAAATGTCGCAAAGAGTGGGTCATGATTTAAATTGACCACTGTCTCGAGTTACAGGGAGGACTGGGCACTAACAAACATTATTAACCCTGCCAGGTTCTGTATGCGTTTGTCCCATGTCATGGAGGATCAAATTGAGAATGGAAGCGGGGAATGTGTTTAAAGAGACAACAACCCGACCAAAGTGCAGAAAACAGCCCTTGGCAAACCAATGGGTCTTCAACGCATGTGCTGCTGTATTTCGGTGATTGTCGTTGGTTGCTGGCTTTCATATTTTATTTTCGTTTTTGATTCTGATAGTGTGTTTTCAAAACAAGAATCAAAAGAATTTGTAAAGATTTGGGGCGGTCCAGAATTGCTTGAACGATTTAATGCTAAACAATGATATATTATCCAATTAAAGGGGGCGTACGCATTCTACGCCCTCCTCCTTAATCCATACATAATTGGATTGAGGTGAGGGTATGGGTAGACAAGTGAACCCGCCCACCCTTATGGGACTACATGTCTCTTGCATATAGACTGTATGCCCCATTCCTGAAGTTTTTTAGTGGTTCCCCTTTTTTTTTAAATCCTGGATCAGCAACGGATATGGTATATGAAACATTGATTGAAGATGAAAACATGGTAAAATATGATGTAAAGCAATGCATATATATTACTCTTCAAGAGTTTTGAAAACACACATTGGAACTGGAGCAAATGCATGTAGGGCTGGCCTACATCTGTGGTAACATGCCTTTTCGTCATCAATACAAATAAACTTGTAGGATTATTTATCCAATGAAAGAAAAATAAATACCTATCGGATCGCTTGCCAACCCGTGTATTAAAAAAGTAAGATATGAAATAACGTATTAAGGGAAATCATGAATTTATACAAAATATATTCGTTCGTATATCTGCATAACCTAGCTTGTGTTTTCTACCGAGAGTTCAAATTTTTAAATTCATAATGAGAAAAATTACAATCAGTTAAACTAACAAATTCTTTGAATAGGAATAAACCATAAAGGTAATGAAAACCGTGTGTTAACCTTCAAACACAATACCAATAGCAAAGGTTACGGCTACAGCGATTATTAAAAAGAAATAGAAAGGGAGTCATAAAATTTAAATTGCATGAATTATAATATAATAGCTCAATCATTTATGACCTCGGAGTCAATACTTTCTATTTCTGTTTTCTGATATTTTCATTGCTTATTTTACTATATTGGTAAAATGAAACAGTCAGTCGAATACACCGCGGACCAAGTATAATGTGTACATGAAGTATTGCAGATTAACGACAAACTATCTGCTATTTATTCGATCACACACACACACACACACACACACAAAATCAGCAAAAAGCAGAAAAAACAAATTAATTAATAAAAAAAAACACTGTCAGTAATGGTTATACTATCTACAACAGTATAATGGAGGAACGATGTGGCGCGTGGTTGTGATTAATACGCCGCCTAGATAAACAAAACTGTGTATTGACCTTTTAGTGATAGAAAAACAGAGTTCAAATATATAAATATTCATGTTATAACTTATTGTCATACTTCCGTCAAAACTTTTAACCAATAGCATAACACAAATTAGTTTTCGAACAGCTCTGATATTTTCTCATACATTATAGTCAAACCCAGAGAGGTTCGAACGAAATCTTCCAAGCATAGTATCATTGGTTTCCTTCCCCCTTACTTATATTCCCCTGAATGATGAGAAGATGATGATTTATCTTATAAATAACAAACTGAAGTGATAAATATATGGGTAGACTAAATACTGTTTATAACGTGAAAACTATGAAGAAGCTTTTATTTACATCCAGACTGAAATTTGTCATGTTTAAGACAGTAAATAACGTGTGATTGCCAAAAAATAATATTACTATAATTTAGGGTCAGATCTAGTCCAAATAATTATGACATCTTGAAAGGCTATTATATTTTTTTCTTTGACGCCTTACATGGCAGGAAGGCGTCAAAGCAAAAATTTAAAATAGCCTTCCAAGGCGTCATAATTATTTTGACTAGGTCAGATCATATGTTTTCGTACGTCATATGAATTCGTACTATGCATACTTTTGCAATGTAAATTGTGACGTCACAATGCATTCTTAGTAGCACGAAAAGCCATGAGATGTGGACAATATTACGAGACAACTATCCTCCAAAGTTCAAATTAAGTATCTAGGTGCTTCCTGTAAGAAATTAGAGGGAAAAAAATAAAAACATGTAACTGGAGAGCATGATTTTCATTACAAAATCGCTTGTCTCCAACGGGACTCGAACCCAGGACCTCTGTGTTTCAAGGCAGCGTGTTATTTCACCGACTGAGCTAAAGAAGTACTTCCTTAGCTCAACCGCTTATGGCTGACTAAGTATCTACCACATACATTTTCTAAGGGAAGCAATGATTTTCATTACAAAATCGCTTGTCTCCACTGGGACTCGAACCTGGGACCTCTGTGTTACAAGGCAGCGTGTAAACCGACTGACTAAGTATCTACCACATTTTCTAAGGGAAGCAATCCCTTCACAAACATATATGAAATACACGGACTTCAAACGCGCCAATTGACAACCATTAAATCACAGCTTCATGACTTTGGACAGACACATGCATAATAATAATAATACACAATATATATATACGATACAAAAATACAAGATGTGAGGTATAGTAATACATCAATGAGGCAGTACACCATATAAAATTCTTGTACATGTTGTATATAGTATGGAATTAGAATTATCAAACATACAGATGCATAAATACAGAGAATGTCAAAATAGATATGTAATGTGTAAATTGCAGGAAGGTATCAAAAGGTTTATGTCTTTATACAGAGCTCCAGATAAGCTGCCTATTTGCGTGATCATGCAATACAAATAATTGAAAACCCAATGCAATTTACGATTGCAGTGATCAAAAACCCAATTCATGCAAGGAAAACCTAATAAATGTCAAAACCATGCGTTCTCAACCCTTTTTGTCGTTTTCGTGTGCGTTATTTACCCTTATCTATAATCATTGTGTAAATATATTTTTGTAATATTGATAATTGAAAATCTCCTTTCGTTCTAAAAATAGAGCGTTACATTAAATAGTTGATCTGGGTCCCTGTTGGAATTGTCAGTTGCTCAAAAAGGTAAACATGTCGATGTAAACATATTTCGATCTTCTCTGCATTTATCCAATTAGCGTGTAAGTGATCATAATTATTTTTGTATTGCTCGTGATTTATGTCAATAATTGAATTAAAACAAAAGTAAATTTCCACTAATAATGTTGAATAGAAGCATGTTTTCATATGTTCAGCTTATTTTTGATAGCTGAGGGATAATTATGATAACACGACTCAGCTAGTGTTATCAGGAAGCGTTCCTCAAACGCACAGCTTCATGCATAGCGCGTCCAGGGCGAGTATATGCGCCTTAACGAGAACATTGTTACTAGTATGACAAAAACTGGTTTCGTCTCAGTTGTGCAAGAATTAAATCAGTTGGAACAGAGAAAAGCCAAATCAATTATATAGTTGAAAAACAATAGAAACCATTAGTTCTAATAAGGGACAACTAATGAACAGATAACAATTAAACAAAAATATTCAAATATTTTTTTGTTTTAAAAGAGTTTTTTTTTTTTTTCATTTCTGTTGATGAGTTAACACACATATATTCGTTTTGACGTATTGTAGCTTACCACTTTCTTTGTTTTTGACCTAATTGTTCTTATGCCAATAAGACAACTATAGATTGTTATTGGCAAGTGAAGTACAACATTGTCATTTATTTATTTGGGTCTCATTCATTTTAATCCACCCCATGATCATCAAGGTTTTAAGGTGTATCTTAATCCAACTGGGAACTATTTATTATTTTAAAAAAAAGTAGGTCTGACGAACAGTTGATAGGACTGGCAAAACTGTCCTACAGGATCCAATGTTCACAAGAACTACATAAAAATCTAAAAACCTAGCCACACCTACTCAAATAAACCAAAGGGTGATCAAATGTGCTCTAGGAAGGCAGGCAATTAGTTAATGCCATACTCAACAGTCAGGGGACTTATTGAAATAAGTGATTTTTAAATCACTTATTTAAGAAGCAAATTCGAAGTTTTGTCACAATTTGTGATTTTGTAATTTTACCAAAATTTTAAACACATATGTTTAGAAAATATCTTTTCATTAGTAAAATTGAAAAAAAAAAGAACTTTCTGCTTCTTTTAAGCAGCAAGGTTTATGCCTTTGATCCAATCATTTAGCTGCAAATTCTATTTTAGTTGAAAAAATGCTATAAAAATGGCTTTACATAATGAACTGATACTTTCTTAACAGATTTTTCCCATCAGTGGGAGTATTTTTCCTGTAAAATTCAAGGTTTCATCTTATAGATTATGTAATAAAATTCTACTGTTCGCAATCAAAATTTCACTGTTCGAGGGTGTTTAAATTAGACCAAAAAAAATAAATGTCTGTTTAAGGTTACATTTTTAAAAAAATAGGGTAGGTAGGTTGGTTTTTCCATTTTATTTTATTTTTTGTGACATGATTTTGAGTCATGTCAGGCGCGTAGCTATGTTTACGTCAAATGCCCGGGCATACACATGAATTTAGGAGAAAAAATAATTTAATCTAAACAAATAAAAAAAAAAGCTTAAACCACACGAGTCTAACTCTTGTTATTCTTTCTTCAATAATAAATTTTAAAAGTCACGGCGAAATTTACTGTAATGAAATGGTATCATATTACATTATTTGTTCATTTTCTGTCAAAGTCTGAATGTACTGTGAATTCTACTCAGTTTCCTACTGTTTAAAGCAATTCATTCGATATGTGGTTTGCATTTTTGACGAGCCTGCGACATTTATGTCGCGAAAACGAGACCGTGGCTTAGCGTTCCTAGATTCCGTCGGCGTCGTCAACATTTAGGTTCAGTCTGTTGTTAAAGTTATTTTTGATTTTATCAATAACTTTGTCAGACATTCATGGAGTTCTACGGAAGTTAGACAGAATATTTTTATGACCAAATTTAAGACAGTATTCAGAGCAAAATTTTATGAATATTTCTTCTGATTTTTGTCTCGCCTTGACGCCGGGAGTCAAAAAGTGAGACATAGGTTATGTTGTTTCCTGCGTCGTTGTCGGCGGCGGAGTCAACAATTTATAAGTTTGTAATTAGGTCACTTAATGAGGAACCACTAGTGGTAGGCAAATAATATTTGGTATGCAGTTGTATTAGCATTGGCACATTTCATTTCCATGGAGATTATTTGAATGTAGGACAGAAAGTCACTGGACAAAAAGAAACGGACAAAAAGTCACAGGACAAAAAGTCACAATTCAGTTTTGAGATTATTTAAAAATGAATATGTAATAAAAAGAAAATATTTCAAGATCTTTCTCTTATATATTTAAACAAATTGTCAACAAACTATTTGTGACTTTTTGTCCTGACTTTTTGTCCTATCAAATTTGTGACTTTATGTCCTGGGACTTTTTGTCCGTTTACCGATTATTTGGCCCCGCCCCCTCAGTCATGGTCTATTGACTTTGAAACTTTTGCTTGGTTTACATGCATTAGTTTGTGATAAGTTTGTTTATGGGGAACCACTAGTGTTATGTCAACGATATTTTACTACTAGGGGGTGTTTAACGACCTTGACTACCAATGAGGATCTCGCACGGTCGACTAAAAGGACTTAGTTTTTGTTTACAGTTAATATTGAGATGCCGTACAAGGTTAAAGTGTTTTTCGGACATCAATTACTTTGTCAAACCTTCATGAAATTTTACCTAAGTTGGACACAAACTTTTTATGATCAAAAGTCAGTATCCAGAGCATAATGAAAATATATATTTTTTTATTTTCCGTATTTTACTAATAAAAGGACTTTGTTGTTTTGTAGTTAATAAGTAGATACATTTTGAGGTTAATTGTTACACATCAATTACTTTGTCAGACTTTCATGGAATTTTATGAACATTTGGCAGAAGATTTTTAATGATTTTAAAAGAGATAATTTTGAATTTTTTTATTTTTTTTTTTTTTTTCAGTATTTTACTGACTTTTTTTTTTTACAATTAACAGACTGTCTGTTTTTACATGATAAATTTGTAAACCTTCATAGATTGTTATGAACCTTGAAAATAAGCTTATCTTCAAGATAAAGTTTTTTGTCTTAAATCCTGTATTTCACTGATCAATAGATAACTTTTTATAGTCAACATTACACTTTTACACTGACAGAAGTAATCCCAGGCGAGACACAGGGTTCCACGGAAGTTTTACTTCTTAAAAAATTAAGAAAAAATACACTCTAATTAAAAGGAACTATATTCGTGGACAACGAAAAGCAGGATCATTAATTGTGGTCTTTGGCCTATTAGGGGTCTAAACCTTGACCAATTTTAATAAAACTTGGCATGATTTAAGCTTAGTGTATTATGAAACAGTTTACAAAGTTTCAAAACCATATGATACCAATTATAAAAATTGTGGCATTTTTTATATCTGAACTTTGGGTGCTGAATTGTGGCATTGAATTAGAATAATTTCAACTATCAAATTTGGGCTTCTAAAAACCAAAATATACCAAAACTTACACTTTTTAATGTCTCTATGTATAAGTTATCACCTATTAAAAGCAACAGATAGCATACTTCATGTTTCAGACTTATAAAAAATGGCCAGAAGTAAATTTCATATGGGCCTGTGCCAAAAAATAGAGGTTTTCAAATGAAGTGAGGCCTTATATGAAATGTTATATTTTTCACTTACCACAATTTTCTGAAGTTGGTAAGTTATAAAAAAACCTTTTACATGTTATAAATGTACTTTTAATGGA